GGCGAGGAGCCGGTGAGGCGGTTTGTGGGGTCCCCGGCCGAGCCTGCTTCTCGTCGTGGCGTTTTCTCCTGTAGCGTGAAAAACGGGGAGACTGTTTTTGGCTTGAGGCGCGCTGGTGTTTGCTGCTGCCGTCGAGTTTCGAGGAGCGAGTGCGCTTGCTCAGCTTGAGAGGAAACTGGTGTGTGGGGGCTCCCTGCTGAGTGTCGGGGGCCTTTAACTGTGTGTGCGCGCTGTGCTGGGGACTGCTCGCCTTCCGGGCATCCCTCCTCCGCTGCCTGCCTGCCTGCCTGCCTGCCTGAAGGCCTGTCGAGCAGGGGAAAGGGAGGCTGTTTTGCCTGAGGAGAGGAGGGGCTTTGTTTTGGGCCCGGGGTCGGTCCCGACACGGAGCGGAGTTGCGCCCCGCCGCGGGTGGTTTGCTCGGCTCGCCCACCGGCCACGGGGGTGTTTTCAAGAGCGCTGCAAAGCGCTTAAGGCAGAGAATAAAAGAAGCTATCCAAAATATTTTAATAGCGCCGAATGCTGTCTTTGTGACTTGCGGAACTCAACGTACAACTTGGTCAAAATTTCCACAGAGCATCTTTAGTCCTCTTTTACAAAAGCCTTCGGCCCAGTGCACGACTTGTAACGAAAGAAGCCTGCGTGTGCTGGGCGTAACGTGCACAATTCCGTAACGTTGTAAAGGCTGCAGAGTTTAGTACATGTTGTAGGATTCCAACGTTTCGTCGTATTGCGGCTTTTCACTTTTTTACAGTCTGAAGGCTGTAATATATGCATCCAGAAACACACAGCACAGTATGTGTATAAATGGTATGACCATATTTATCTTTACATGCAAATGATATATGCAAATTGTAAGGTCAAGAAGACCTTCAATTAGAAGTAATAGAATAAGCAACTGAAATTGCATAAAACAGAGCAAAAACACTAGTACAGCTTCTAGTTACAATTTTTCCTTCTGCTTACTCCAACAGCGTTTTACTTGCCTGATGACCACCGAGTCAGTATTCTTACGTTTGCCATCTGGTGTATGGTTCAGTGCCACCTACTCGCACACAGAGTTTAAGCCCTGCACTGAGTGCAAAGTTCTCATGTTCACAGACATATCTGTACTCTGAGGAAATGGCAGGTGATGACATTAGTGAGCTTCATGTTGCCATTGAATGAAGCAGAGGTAGTATTTTGGTTTCATGAGCAGGGAACGGAGATGCAAAGACCAGGGTAGCTTCCTCAGATGCGTCTTTTTGGTTTTAGATACCAAATCTCAAGTGATTCTCGACGTGAACTTTGAGACGTCTTGAAACGTACTTCAGGGATAGCGGCAAATATTCAGTTCTCCTAAAGTTGCTTATCATATGCTCTGAGGAATGTAGCACCGGTGCTCATCTGTGAACAACTTGATTTTAAAGGCCTAAGCGGAAACGTAGTCAGTTGTGCTCTTCAACTAACAACCAGCTTTGGTTGTAGCCAGGAAACCGTCCTTCCTCTTCCTGCAGTCACCTGCTTTATCTGATGGAGAATTTATAGGATACATAGTGAATGAGGCAGAATTACTTCAGAAAACAGCTTTATTCACTGCTGATGTATAATTACTGTATAATGCTTACTGGAGAGGGTTGGAGGCCTACTGGAGTCAGGCAGTGAGTATGCATATCTGCGAGCAGCTAAATCGAGTTTACCTGGAAAAGTGCTAATTCTGGCTGACTTACGATGTCTTGATATTATACGGTCACGTACATACCTGGTGTGTAGGGGAGGGAGAATCATATTTGTTGTATTTCTGAAAACTGCCTCCAGCACCTGTTAAGGTCGAGTTACAAGGGATGGGATGAATAGGTTTAACTAATTTTGCTGTGATGTTCTGCTGCAGCCCTGAGTTTCTCTTGAGTCAGAGTTCTGGTTTCCCTTTTTTTTTTTTTTTTTT